AGAGAAGGGCAAAGGCAAAGTGGGCTTTGTGGGTCACTTCCAAAGTGTGTAGATGGATGATGAAGGGTTTTTCAACACGGGACAAAGCAATCCTGTACCCCAACAGGGATATGCCATAGTGGACAGTGGACAGTGGGGTCAACACCTTACAAGACCTTGCTGACTTTTTTGAAGAGCTGGGTCTTGCTGCTGAACATGAGATTGAGATCAACAGGACTATGCACAAGAACTTCATGTATGGAAGTGATCATAGCAGCTCAGCCATCGGACTAGCCCATGTCAATGCGTGTATCTTGGGAAAAGAGATGATCCTAGATGTTCAAATCATTGACGGCAGTACTCCTCTGTTGCTGAGTGCAAAGTTTCTGCGCTAGATGCGCGCGGTGATTGACTTCAGGACTGCAACGGGGACCTGGAGGGCATGTGTTGCTTCCCATCACTGCGTTTGCTGGGCGTGAACATGTCGTGGACAGTTTTGTGTTGACTGTTGTGAGCATGGTTTGATCAGTAGAAGAGGGGATTTACTGAAAGTGCCCTGGGGCCTGTTCAGTATTCATTCGGGAGTGAGAAAGGTCTCATGGGACAAAAACCCATCCTCCAGTCCAAGGAGCCCACACCGCTGTGACTGCGACACATCCACCTCCTGCGTCGTCGTTTTGCTAGGGCTTTGATGACAGATGGTCAACCAGATCCAACGTTGGAGAGTGGTCAGCTGAGCTTTTCAGGTTCCAAACAGAGCCCCACTATTTTGGCGGAACGTGAGCACGGCGAGGCAGAAGAATCCGGACCAGACATCTCAGAGGAACAAAAAGAAGAAAGAAATGAGGAAGAAGAAGAAGAAGGTAAGAACCAGAAGGAGAAGATCTGTCCCGGATCGTAGATTTGCTGAAGGAAGTGCAGCGCAATTTGGGGCATCCTGGCATTGCATCTATGAGAAAGCGCTTGAAAGACGCAGGGGCTTTTTATTGAGTGCTGCAAGTAAGCATTGGGAATGTTTGAGTGTTGACAGCTTTTGGTTGTGGGAGTTGGAGAGAAACCTGACTACATGGTTGTTTTGAGCTTGATGGACGAAGCGACTGATTTCCATACTGCGGTGATTCGGCGGTGATCATCAAGACTAGTCAGGACGGACCCCTTAGAATATATTGGGAGAAGGTTTTCGGAATGCGTTGTGTAAGGGTTGGTTACAACATTTTCCGGCACCGTCTGTTCCCCGGTATGATGAAGAGGGGTTCATGAGAAATTTGGAGATTGTTGCTTGGTTGGAAACCGTTGGGATGAGGTTAGAGCCCGCTGGAAGTGCGTGGCAAGAAGGAACACATTCCAAACATCTTCAAACGTTGAAAGGGTCCATGAACTTGGTTTGCATGGAGTTGGGAAACGAACATTCTATCCGACAGCTTTTGGCCTTGTGCGCCCTGTGTTTGAGTGCGAAAGCAACACCCATCCGGTTCGAGGATGTTCCCCAAACCAATGACACAATGAGTTTTGGTCGAAATCACAGTCGGGTATCGCCATTTTTGGAACAAACCTTCCCACGCAGAGCGCCCGTGAAGTTGCCACGATTGAAGAGAATGTGAAGGCTGAATTGGAGGCACGAAAGCTGTTCCTCCAAGTTGACGCGAAGCGAAGAATCTCCAAGGCCCTGAACGCTAAGGGAAGGCCACTGAGAGACCAGTGGACGTGTGGTGACCTTGGCTAATATTATAGAAGGGGTAGGAAGGGAGCGGCAAGGGGTAGGAAGGGAGCGGGTAGAGTGCTGTCTCATGAGACGTTCGTTCCTGATCCTTTTTGATAGTGCACGCTGGAAGGATTGCCCCCTGCTCACCTGAATAACTTCATTTGTTTGCGCGCATGACCTCAGACACCTGGATGAGGAAATCAATTAACCCATGAAGTTTCAACACATGTTGAGCCAAGTGTCTCAACAACAGAAGTACTCTGATAGTGCGAAAGAAGCTTTTGAGAGAGAATCAAAAAGAGAAGAAAGACAATAGCCATGTCCTGAGGAGGAACGACCACATTTTCGCGTTTTTGGAAAACAGGTTTGGCGCAGATCCTCCGACCGTGATCGAAACTCGACTTCCGATGGCTAGACTCTCAGCAGTCTTCAGATGCTGGTGGAAAGGATAGAACACCAGGAGTTCGAGAAAGAGAAGAAAGAAGTGATGAGACTAGACTTTTGTGACCACTGATGCTATTCAGAATTGTTCTTCTCAGGGAAAGGATCCATCACGTGTGATGCAAATGCGATTCATATATGTTTATAGGAAACCGTTCATGACCAACAAGGGACGGAAGTTGGTAAGAAGGCTACCGGCAGCTAACGCTAGACTCATTGTGAAGGGGTTCCAGGACCCTAGGCTGACCTAGTTGAACAGAATTCAGAGAATCACCGACCTTAGACCCGAAACCTTCTGTTATCTTGAAAGTGCTGCCTGCCACTTCCCACTTCATATCGCAAGGTTTACTGAATGCTCCAAAACTATGGTGCGAGTCTTTAAGCACTTTTCTCAAAGATGGTTCGGTGATTCACTCTTTGGGTAAGTGTTTGTTGCAATCAGTCAAAACAAAAACTTCAACATATTTGTAGGACAGGAAAAGTTTGCCCGGGCTATCAAGGAAGTTCCTATCACCAAGCAAAGAAAAGAAGATGTTAAGGCTGAAGTTTCAACTAACTAACTGAAGAAAACAAATGTGCCAGACACTCGGATCGCTCAGTTGGAGGGCGAATCAAAGTGCGCCTTGGCTCCTACCTCCAGTGTCACTGCTTCAGGGCCGAGAGGAACTAGCATGCGTGAAGGGTAAACAAACTTGTGAGACTGCGGAGAAAATGTCATGAGGGAGGTCTTTCTTTTCCGGCTTTGAGAGGAAATTTGACGGTCATGACATTTTCTGATGCTTGGCGACTCGATCCGACGGTTCTTCACAGGGTGGACAAATCACCTTGTTGGCGCCCCGCAAATGCTTCGCGGGGGGGTCAGTTTTTGTGTTCTTGGTTGGTATAGTAGAAGACTGAAACGAGTAGCTCGATCCAGGATTAGCGCTGAAGCGCAAGTGAGTGCAAATGCGCTTGACTACCAGTGAGAGATGAGAAACCTGACTTGAGAAGGTCTCATGACTGTCTGGGCACTTTTGATAGTGGCATGATAGTTGATGCTAGAAACATACATGATGGCTCAGCTAAGAACTGCCAAGAATCAAAGAACGACTTGGGTGGATGGACATCCAGAAGTTGCTAGGCGGTTGTTGAAGGCGCTTCGCTTGGGACCGGAGTTTGGAGGATTGTGTATGACACTCAATTCAAGTCTGCTCGTCGAAAGAGAGCCTTGAGGTTTTTGGGGGCCGACGCATATTGCTTGCACTGTTTGTTCATCTGCTCAGTTTGGATGAGCAAGCAACACAAGATGTTTAACCGTTAAGATTTGAACTTTTGCATCTTGCTTGCCATCCATAGCTATGTATATGCCTTGCTTGCCTCAAAACGGATGACCTGCCCTCCTTTGGGGGCTCAGCTCGCGCGCCCTAGAAAAGATCTAGCGTGTGAGTTCGGGGCCGGCTTTTGGGTTTTGGTTTTGTGTTCAGGTGATTTTGCGAAATCATTTCCGCGGGGGAAGTGCCCACAAGCTCCGCTTGTTTGCTGGCTGCTAGCCTTCTGCTGGTCAGCTGCTTTTGCTGGTCTGCTGGTATTCGCCACCAGCAAGATTACTTTGCAACACTAAACGAATGTTGCATTGTCCCATTGGTAGCCTTTTGGACAGCTTACAAAGTTTCTGAGACCTTTGTTTCAACGGGTTTCAACGGCAGACAGCAAAATCTAATAGATATCATCGAGCTGGTCGCTGTGTGCAGCTGCTTCAGTGACATTGATGATGATTATGCCGCTACAAAACCCGATGGGGTTTGCACCATTTGCCGTGACTTTCCGTGGGTTCCGGAGAGTTTAAGGTATCTCTGACACTTACAAGTCAATAGTCAACACTTTCCCGCCATGTTTGCCAGGAACTTGGGTTCCATGGGATATGTTGGAACCACGTCACTCTTCATTCCATCGCACGTGCAGGAGAGACTGCTGGTGGATAATGGAAATCTTTCAGAGACAAAGACTAAGAATCAACATGTGTTTTTTTGTGATGTGTTTTCCATCGTCGCACATTGGCACACTGCTTCAATTATGTGTCATTGGTGGGTTCCTGCAATTTCCTGATTCCCACAGGAGTTGGCCTACAATGTTGAAGGTTTGTCGCTCGACTTCTACCGGGCATCTTGGATTGAACATGAGTCAACCCCCCCAACTTGAATTCTGTGCTCAGGTTGTTTGACAAGTTGGCACAAACCACAAAAGGTGCCTCAACAAGGGATCCCCACAAGGTAATTGGTTTGCGGGTCTTGTCAGCAATCTGGAAACTTAGAAAAGACTCGGGCACCTCGTAGCAGTTTGCATCGAAGGAATTCTTGCGCCACCTGAAATCTCCAGTTCAATTGCCTGAGGAGGGTTTTCGTATGAATCTGCGGCGCAGAACTTGATCCATCAACACTATTTTTTTTCGTTACAGTTGTTCAGGAACTAAAAAAACTTTGTTCTAGAAAATCCAGTCTGACCAACGAGCCCATCCTCCGAGTGCCACGTTGGTGAAATTAATCATTTTTTGCATTTTGACGAGACAACTAGATATGCAGATATGCAGTCAATTTGTTGTCTGATCAACGGAATCTTGTGCACTTGTTCACCTCAAGTGGTGCAGGACTTCTTCCTAAAAGCCCTGGGTCATTCACTACAGAACCGCTTCGATTGGAACTGGTAAACAAGGCTCCGAACATTCTGATCCACCCGTGCCTTTTGAGCATTTTCATGGATTACAAATTACTTCTGCAGGGAAATATCCTAGCATTATGTATTGCTAGGGACCGACATACCCTTGGAGAAGGGAAAGGTTTTAACCTGCCGACAGCACACCCAGGAACAAAGCTCCGAGTTCACAAAACAAAACAAGGCTTCCATGGCGTTTCCCAAGGACTACAATACTTCGTGGGAACGGCCATCACAATACTTCACCACCATCGATCAGATCAACAGATCCAAGCTTATGTTATGCGAAGAAACTCTTTTGATGAGCGTGAAGATGATGTCGACCTACCTGGAAATCACCGGCGACCATGAAGGTGTTTCCCAAGGTGGGGCCATCGGCGGAAGATGTTATATCCACCGTTGTCAGAGAAAAAACTTTTGTGTGTTTGGAGTAAAGTTAAAGAATCGGAGTGAAGGGAACTATTGTTTCCGTTGTGCTGGCCTCAGGAGATACAGGCCTTGCTTTTTGATGTTTTTTGATGTTTTTTTGTTTAACCTACTTGATTGTATAAGTTGCCTGTGCTCTCGTGCTGGTGCTTCCTGGGTGATCTACATGGTTGAGATTGTAGTAATATCGCTGTCGTTCGATTTGAGTCTAAGTGCTGAACCTACTGGCATGAAAATAGAGACCAGACCACAACAAGTGTCCAAAACGGGAGGTCCCTCGAAATTACACGCCAAACACATGGACGGCTCACTGTGGATAAACAATGGTTTCCTGGTGTGGGCATTGTTCACCGAATATTCAATGGTTTCCCATCTACAAGTGGTTTATCTCAGCCCCCTCGGATGAACACTAAGAATCCAAAAGAAACTCAACCACGCTTTACCAAGAACGTCCCACTGCAGAACAGCCTACCTTTTGTCATTCCTGTGGCTAGAGAGTTGTAGTGGCACGCGCAAGACACCACACACATACCAAAATGATTGATTCTATTAGTGTCACAAGATGTTGTGCAGTTTCTTGCCATGTTTCATCAAGCACTGCCACGCAACATTGACATGGTCGACTCCAACTTTTTTCAGGCACTGGCGGCATTACCGGCCGATGTTTTGATCAGTATTTCTGGTATGCACCTGCTTGCCGGCGCAATTCGTCAAGTTGCATTCCTTGCTTTACGGGCGGCACTGGTTGGGGCAGCCTTGAAATGCTTCAGAAGGCAGTGGCGACCCGAAAGACTGTCTCACGAAAGCTTCAACAGAGAGCAGTCGGTTTGGAAACTGAACATTCCCTGTTTAGACAGGGTTTGCTGTTTGCATTGGTTTGTCCAGCGCTGTTCTTGTTTGGTGCAGCTTTAAACCAGTTCTAGTATGGCCGGTTGTTTTGCGACAGGCCACTTTTCTGGGCATACCGTTGGCATGGATTACAGCCAAAGACTGGAATGCTTACTCGGCCTTGCCAAAGGACTATGATTCCATCTTTTATTGGTGGACACCGGATCCCACCTTTCTTAGGCGCTTTGTCGTGTATGTTAAACACATTTACTTTCAATGTGATTATGATGTTTTACACTCTGGGCCAGGATGTTTCTACCTTGGTTCTTTTTTAACGTTGTTGATGTCTGTTTGTGGTTCTCCTTGCGAGCACGGCAACCCTGCCAGTTTGAATGCCGAGCAGATCATGTTCCCTGCGCATAATGGGGTAGAGTGGGCCAAAGGCGATCACCGGTCTGCGGCCTTTGCAATTCAAATCGACAAGTATATTAGTCAGGACGGAAGTACTTGAGAAACTCCAAGCTGTTTGTTCAAATTGCGGATGATCTTTTGCGTAGCCTGCGCAAACTTGAATTGATTTGATTTCCTTGGTTCTGCCTTTTCGTTGCAAGAAGGTGCTTCTTTTCAGGCCTATCCAGACCTAGACTATTCTGGAATGAGGACTTGAATAAATTGGCTCCTGATATTGAAGAGTTCATGCGCAACTACAATGTGGACATCAAGCATGTGGAGATGATCATGTGTTTGTGCAATGCACGAGCATGTTGTGTCATTTCTTGTGAGCCATCCAACCAGACAAGCCAAGAAGACTTTTAATCAGCATTGTGTCTTTTTGAGACAGTCCTAGATTAGTTTTGGTATCAGCTAGCAACACTCTTTTCAAGAGCCATTTGCGATTTGGATAGACTTGAACAAATTGACACACTGAAACTTTAATTGAAACATTTCACACGCCATTGTTTGGTTGTGGCATGTTGTGGCATAGTTGTATAAGTGGTGTGGTGTGACAGATTTCTTTGATGATTGGGAACACCTAGGGCGGACCAGCTGCAGTCAGGGGAGTCATACTTCGACGCTGCCTGCCGCTGGCTCCATGCGAACGGTGACTGGCGATCCTGGCATTGCTTGAGGTGTTTTTTCTATTTGATGTCCCAGTAGTCAAATCTAGTGACGGGCACCGTCCTTTCCATGCGCTTTAGATGAATTTCTTCAAACGGCTATAGGGCGTCCTTATAGGGAATCAGTACAGCTCAAATCCGCCAGCCGGAGGCACTGAGGCGTGAGTTTAAGCTCGTGAAACGTCACATTGGCCGCCGAAGGCGCACAGTCTAGTGCTCAGTGAGCTCAGTTAGCTTAGGGGGGGACCCTTATATTTTGGGAAGTCACAGGCAAGCGGAAAAACATGAATTCACGAGTTTTTAGTGTTTTTCTTGACTGCCCAGCGAAGAATTCTCGTTTATATAACTGGGGGTATGGGGTGGAAGCGCGTTCACATGATATAGCATTGCTTTCTTGTCGTCAACTGTCAGCAACCGTCTGAATGAAGAACATGGTCTTAGGGGAAGGATGGAAGCATGAAGTGGCAAATTCTTGTAAAATGGCGTAGAAACATGACATATTCAGTGTGAAGGATGATTGTGCTGCGCAGGGGCAGCGTTTTGTGAGGTCAGCATTTTGCATCGCTGTGCCATTGGGACATGTCTCAAGTAAAAGTTTGCAAATATGTGGTGTGGCGCAAACTGTTGTATTACATTCAAAAGGTGTGGGATCGTCACTTCTCGTGCTAGGCGCAATGCTTTGCGCGTGTTGGAGGTGCATGGGGAATGAGGTTGCGACGATTAGTGCAGGTGAATGTCGCTACAATTGGGATTGGCGCGTCGGCGATGGCTCTTTCGAAGGCCTTGGATTGCAAAACTGTTTGGCAGGGCTGCGGGATGTGTTTGCTTCGATGAGACTTCACTTTACACGCCTGCTCACTTTTTGGAGGGTTCTCCATGCTCATGTTGGAAGACTTGACGGGTGGCTTTTGGAGGAAGTCTCGTATACAACATGCTCATTTTGCAGGCTTGACACGTCAGACACTTGGAGGAAGTCTCATGCGAAATGCTCGCTTGGTTCATGAGTCTGTTGCGTGGAAGTGCGTTTCCGTGGCTCCTGTCCATTGGGGAGCCGGAAGCGTGACTGTGTAAACTTGGCGCGTCGCAGTTATAAGCGGGATGATACGCGGTGCCCAGAACAGAGTGTCTTACAAGAGTGTACAGGAGAGTCCTAAAAGAGTCTGTCCCACAAGAGTGTCCCGCAAGAGCGTCGCAAAAGAGTGTCAAACCGAAGTGTCGCACAAACGCTTCCTGTACAAGAGTGTTGTCAAGTACATGAGTTTCCCACAAGAGTGTCCCACGAGAAAGTCACGCAAGAATTGAGTGTCCCTACAAGACTGCAGGACACTGGTCAGAGTGCCAAGCAGAAGCGACCCACAAACCCATCCTACAACTGTGTCCTGGAAGACTGTCACCCCTGAATGTCCTGCAGGAGTGTTTTGGAGAGTGTCAAGTAAGTAGAGTAAGAGTAAGAGTATCAAAGAAGGCTTGGCTATTTCGTCCCCGTGTAGGATTCTCATCAAATGAGGGGTCCTACCCATAAAACGGGGGTCAGTCTCAGTTCCGAATTTTATGGAGATTCTGCGCGTTTTTTTAACATGTTTCAATAAACTGTATCAATTTTGTGCAGCCTCGTGAACATGTCCATCAAGAGATGTGTCAAAAAAAAAGACTTGAAAAAGAAAGACCAACCTGCTTTTTGATTGTATACCTCAGGTGGACGGCCAGATCATTATATCTGTAGAATGACCCCTCCACACTCCGATATGGTATCCTACACCGGTATGCTGTTTGCGTTTAGGTATATTTTTGTGCGTTCGGTCGCGTGGGCTCCATTTCTTTCAGCGTTGCAAAAAAACAGCCATGTTGGACGATTCAGAGCAATATCTTCGGAACGCGGGTTCATCTTGGGGTCAACTTGGTCCACAATTATTCAACAGAACCGTTTTTTCGCGATTGTGATAAAAGGAAAGCTAAGGATTTTAGATTGTAAAGTAACAGTTTGAGCCGGGTTGAACCCAACATGCTCCAATGGAACATTTATCTGCACCATGTTCCCTTTGTTGAGTCCATGTCGGCACATTGAAACCAAACAGACTCAAGTTGCATCATGTTGAGTCGAGCCTAGCCTGGTGCGGGCGGTTCATCGCGAAGTGTCATGTGGGTTTGTTTTTTGGCGTGTACTTCCTGATGTAACTGTAGTTGGAAGTTTGACTTGAGCGATTCATACCCTCGAATCATACCCCGAATCATGCCCCCAAGTCCTACCCCTCAAAAAGTAGGTAAAAGAACTAGGTGTTAAGGTGACACTTTTGGTTGGTCTTTGTGCCTTGTAGATGTCCATGAACCAATGGTGCAGGACGTTATGTGATCCGTGGGCACTCAATTGGCAAAAAGTTTCAGGGGGACCAATGTTCCCATGTGCTCTCCCGGAAGAAGAGCCAAAGAGTCGCCTCCCTTTGCAGAATCTAATGGCCATACGAATCACACCCGATTCATGCACGATTCATACCCGAATCACGTACCTCCACACACACCACATCCTGGTTGTTTTGGTGGGGCCTGTGGAGGGCCAGGAGTCAAAAGGGTTGTGTCTTTGGTGGGGCTTGGGGTCGGGGTCTTTGGTAGAAGAGTGCATTTGCGTGTCTGCCCAGCAACTCACGGCGCAGAAGCGGGCCCACTGCTCAAAGTCCAGCTAATCCAACAATACAATTTCAAAGCTGCAAATCATACCCTCGAATCATACACCGAATCATGCCCTCGAATCAAACCACCTATTCAAATTCCCAGGCCCGACTACGGTAAAAAGACGCACCCATGTAGCACTGCTTCTCGAAAAGAGGAAGTCTATCTGGCTGGGTGATCCATATGAGAACGGAATGCGAGGTGGCAGCAATGGATCCCTGACAAGACCAAGTGCTTTGCCCGGTACGGGCTCTACAATGCGAAAGAAGACTTTCGGCTGCCTTGGTTGGGTCAGTGGGAAAAATTGGCCTTGGTCTCCCAACGCAAACTACAAAACAACGCTACAATCAAGTAAGGAATATGTATAAGGTATTATGGCTATGTTAGGGGAACGATGCCCCTAATACCCTACAAAAGTTGCAGCTGCAATGACTTGTTTTGTGCACGCGCTGCAGAGTTTCGCACTAGTTGCGGATTCCAACAAATCAAAGAGCAACCGTTTGCACTGGTGTTCAGTCGATCACTGTCTTTTAATGCTCGGATGATAAACGGTTTTTCATCCGCTTATACAGTAAATTTGGTGACCAGCATCATCTATGTTATGGCCCTTGCTTCAGGAGAGATTTGTCGACAACCGAGCGAACCGGAACAACCTCAAGTGCGAGGTTTGCCCTCCTGGGTCTTTCTCCGACGAGATGCAGGAGATGCGACGGTTGCCATGACGGTCAGCTGAAGGGATGCCCACCCCCCAAAATATTTAAAATACTATACCACCGCGAGCGATGACTACTACTGGCCACTATATACTGTGACGAACGCCACAACCACAAAAGCAGAGCTTCTGGGGAAGTATTTGGAATGGCGAAAGAAACAGAAAATGGCGATGGCAGAGCCACATTCTGTTGGCCGAGGTCCTCCCGAGGTTCGGTTCATCCACTCACGCGACGTTGTTCTACAGATATGTTATGGTATATTTATAGTATGTTGTTCCTATTTGTTTCTGCAGGGGGTTGCATATTTTTCCGTTAGTTCAAATCCCCGTTGAAATGATCGTGGATCCATTGATCTCTCTGAACAATCGGGTCTGCAGGACGACAATGGCACCACCTTCATTTGCCGCACCTGCCATGCGGGGAGCTACCAGGCCAGACGATCATACTGGCGATCGTGTCGAAAAACACAAAAAAACATCAAAAACATAAAACAAAATATAATTGATTATTTTCTTGATACGTTTATATATATATATAAGCGTCATTTTTCCCGAGGTACTCCTTGAGGAGAGTTTCGAGTATAGTACATGTAGTATTCAGTCCCACTTTGAATTGCTCGGCAAACTAATTAATCAATAGGTCGGTGCGTATGGCATGTTAATCCCAGATGCCTACAAGTGTTCGCCGTGCTTTGGGAGGTTAGATTGTTTTGAGTTTTGAGGGTATTTCTTCCTGTGAATATCCGTTGGGTTCATGGATGGCGCGATCGTCACCGATGCCCAAAGTTTCCGCGCAGGTCTTTGGTGCATCAACCATGTGCGATGCGTGCCCTACAGGGGAATACCAAAACGAGACGGGCCAAAACTTCTGCAAGAGATGTGGTCTTGGAGCCTATCAGGACTTGACAGGCCAAAGCTTTTGCCAACCATGCCCAAATGGAACAACAACTACTGGGTCTCTTGGCTTCAAAAAGCATCAAACATCTGTGCATGGTTCGTACAAGATGCCAAGAAGTA